GGCTAACTCACAGATCAAACCCTGAAACAACCTCTGGGCTGATCTAAGTCAGGGCACGGCTAACTCACAGATCAAACCCTGAAACAACCTCTGGGCCGATCAAAGTCAGGGCATGGCTAACTTACAGATTGAAATGGAATTCAGCTTGTTGGGTTTTGCTGAGGGATGAAAACGGAGAACATAGAGATAAACCCTCAGATCAAGGGACAGACCTAACGAGTGATGCCGAGTCTGGAAATCAAACCAGAGACCCCAGAGGTGAGAGGGGAGTACGCTACCCTACACCGCCCCTGATTCCCATAATCTCACAGAAATCCAATAAGAGTATTCCACATACCCTTTTTGAATCATCCTTCATTTCATGGGCTCCATTGGCTGTAGCTCCAGCAGATGGGGTAAATATAACACTCCTTCCATCATCACTAGCTTTTCGTTTCTTTAATCCATTTTGAAAAATCTGTCGAATTTTGCCATAGTCTGGTATTTGATCGTATTCAAGATTCTTGACATATCCTAGGAACTGTTGTACCTCTGTAGGAAAAAAGTCTTTTAATATATGAAAGTGATTTTATTTGGCCTGTGGAAAAGAATATGCACAATATATAAATACAACCTAAAATAACATCACTGAGGTTGTAGTGACATTTTTTGGCCAAAGCCTGCAGGAAGTCCAAATAATAAAAGAGAATCCTCCCCCTCCCCTCCCCTCCCCCCTGCACTCAGGCTATGATTCCATTGCTTTCTCTTGTCTTATTTTGACTATTTACAAATTTGTTTCATGTGCTAAAAAAGTCACTGTAATTATATGGACTAATAGTAAAGGTAGAAAATAGACCCCTTTGAAAAATATCTTAGATACAAGGCTAATGGTGGTAACAGAAAAATGCAAACAAAATGGCACAAATTCCTTCTAGAAAAGTGCACCATTTCTTTCGTATTTTAGCCTTGCATGCAACATTATTTTGAAAGGGGCATGTGTTAGATGAAGCTACTTTACCTGAGCTTTCTCCAGAAGGAAGACATTCTTTGATAAGCTGAGGTATGTTATCCATGTACCTGGAGACAAGTGAAAATGATGCATGAATGATGTGGCATATAGATAAATCCAAGGAAAAGCAGCAACAACAGCATTAGCAGCAACAACAGCAATAACAGCAGCAGCAACAACAGCAGGAGCAACAACATTAGCAGCAACAGCAGCAGCAACAGCAGCAGCAGCAGCAGCAGCAACAACAACAATTACAGCATTAGCAGCTGCAACAACAGCAGTAGAAACAACAGCAGCAGCATGTTCAATGACCAGCACGATGATTCACCTTATCTTCTGGTTCTTGACATACTCCTTGTCACATAGCTTATCTTCCCAGGGTAGTCTTCCACACAACCATTGTAACATAACATAACCAAGAATTTCTAAATCTGATCTTCTTGATGGAGCTAGAAAAAGAAGTTGACAAAAAAAATTAGTTTGCACAAATACACAAGAAATGGAAATGGAAATCTTCATTAATTCATACTCATTCACTCATTCATCCATCCTTTCATTCATCCATTCTTTCTTTCTTCCTTTCCTTCTTTTTCTTTTTTCATTCCTTTCTTTTTGCTTTACTTCTTTATCCTCATTCTCTTTTTTCTGTTTTCTTTCTTTATTTCACTCATTCTTTCTTTTTTTATATATATTTCTTTATTCCACCAGCATATATACAAAGCTTAGCGACTTTAAAGAGGACCAACCAACTCCTTTATGTGCATCTATGCTGGCAAACTCCACTGTGCCGTCATGTTTTCTCTTTGGGTCTTCTTTGTACTCCTTGTGCTCTCCATTTGGATTGAACCTGAATGTCAGTCCATAATCAAGCAAATAGACCTAAAACAATTAATTATTCAATGACTTGGTATCGATCAGTTGAATGAACCTCATTATCAGCAATCTATGACAGCAAACACTGTCTCTCAAGTTCAACCATCCAAATAGTTTTCCTAAAGGTTGTTTTCAATCACTAGGATCACTAGAATCTCATAAACACCCAGACAAAGGGCAACCACTGCCCTCATGCCCCCTTGCAAGCACAATGTATTGAAAGAATGACAAGTAAGAAAGGCAATAGCTATTCACCTGATCCTTCTTGCCCTTGGAGTATCCCATCATCAGATTGGATCCCTTGATGTCTGCATGTGCATATTCATTTTCATGGATATATTCTAGGATATCAAGCTTAGAAAGAAAAATGGACCTTCAAAATGCAATACAATACAATACAACTTTATTTACTTATAGGGAGAAGAATAATACATAAAAACATTTAGTACTAGAAATCTATTTACAATTATGCAGGATATATATATTTACAAAGAAAAAAATAGATACTAGAATTAGTGTTTGAGCCTGAGGGTTAAATTAACCATAAGTTTTCTAGTTAACCCCCATGCATCGATTGTAAGACAGACATTTCCAATTTTCAGCCATTTTTGTTTGCTCCATGCTGTATATCAAAAAAAAAAACATTTTGGCTGTCTGACATAGTAACAGTGACTGGGTAGCTAGTTATAAAACATTGATAAGTGCATCCCTGCACCAGCTCTTTGCTTCTCTTCATGCGAAATCATGGTTGCATGAAATCAACAAACAGATTTGGATAAGAACGAAAGGTTTATATATTCTTAGAGTTAAAAAAGATCACTTACAATTCTTAACCCCAGCATCAAAACAGTCCTGATGTCAAACCGACGGTTGTGCTGCTGAAAGATTTGATCAACATCCTTGTCATACCTCTCCATTACTAAAAACCTCATCTTGGCATTGTCATGTTCCACTGAACCTGAACCAAGGTACAAAGGAACACCAAGATGCTTTAGTTTCTTTGTCTTCATCCAACTACTGACTGCAAAGAAATGAAAACAAAACATGCTAAGAAATTAGATAAGTTGGAAATAAATGAATGAATTAAAAAAGAATGATGGATGAATGGATGGGTGGGTGGGTGGGTTTG